CCTGGTTTCTGCAGCTCATCTTTCAACTGTGAGAGCCACTTCAGTGTCCTTCCTGTTCAACAGACTAATAAACAGCCTCCCTGCCTTGACTTTAAACTGACTGAGTCATGACTAATACAATAGGGACAGCTGCTGTGCTGGAATCAAATTATATTCTGTTTGTGCTATAATCCTCTTCTAATGATCAATTAATTTTTCCAACAACATGAAATGAGGTCCATTTGGCATGAAGTGGGCTTGGCAAATCAGTAGAGGCCTCTAAATAATAACCGTTTTTTTTTTTCATGGTCACAAATCATCCCAGGAATAGACATCAAGTTCATCAGGGTGTAGTGTCTGGAATACATATATATATTTTTTCCTTTTGTGAATCTGAAGACAGAAACTATTCATATTTAGTCTTATGTCATCTTTTCCAACATTCTTTCTCAAAGATCCATATGAAAGGCTTTGGGGTCATAAACTAAAGCACTTTAAGTATACTGGAATGTAACTCATCTGAGTCTAAACATCTTTTAACCCCTTTAAAGCAGCTTGGTGATTTCTACCACTGCACCTATCTTAGCTCTTTTATTTTTAATTTTTCCCAGGCTTTTTATTTTGTATTGTGGTAGAGCCAATTAACAATTATCTCGGCTTTAATTTCTCTTACAGCTATTTTCTTTGTTCTTTACAGCTTGAGGATTTTTTTTTTTTTTTTTTAATAGAGAAAATCCTAGCAAAATAGACACTGGGTATTTCTGTTTTCTTTCAGTTGTCTGATCACATCATATCATTTGGTCTCAAGCAATGGGATTCTCTTTCTTTTTCTTCTAGCTTTTAATACTGAGCATTAAAATACCCCTTCCCCTAACAAAAAATAAAAGCCCCTTTTGTTCTTAAACCCGACTGTATTCCTGAATCTCCCCTTTCATGTCTGTGGCCCTTTTTTGTATTTTCCTTTGTTATGAGTTACTCCTCCAAACCCCTGCCCTTTAACATCCTGATTTTATTGGGCATTGACTTGTCTGAGTGCATCTCTTTCCTTCCACATTCACATCACTAGGGTTTGCAGGTCAGAATCTGGATCTATGTACTTCCCAACTCCTCTGAAACCATACTCTTTTTAATAGACTTTACTATGAAATTATGTGTGTTTTAAAAATACAATCTTTTTTCCCCCCAATTTAAAGATTAATCCCTGCTTTTAAGAAAAGGTTTAGTAGCTTAAAGAAAGCACATTATAGCAGAGACTTCTGACTCTCTGAATATCCATCCTTCCTTCTGCTTGAGATACTATTGTTACCCGGGCTGCCCAGAATCAACCCTACATCTCCTAATCTCCCTTGCATGTGGATGTGACCTTGTGATTATCTTTTAGACAGTGGAATGTGAGCAGAAGGGATATGTACCATTTTGTGGATTTTTGTTCTTAAACCTTCTGTTACTCCTTTTTCCTGATTTTGCTGGCCAGAATGAAATTGCAGCTGATTTGGTGGTGAGCATTCTTCAACTAGGCTCAGCTGTAAAGAATCTGCCTGCAACGCAGGAGACACAGGAGATATGGGTTCGATCCCTGGATTAGGAAGATCCCCTGGAGGAGGGCATGGCATCCCACTCCAGTATTCTTGCCTGGAGAACCCCATGAACAGAGGAACCAGGGGGGCTACAGTTCATAGGGTCGCCGAGAGTCAGGCACGACTGAAGCGATTTTTTTTAACTATGTGCAACCAGGGCAACATCCTAGATATGGTCTTCCATCCAGATCTCAGGCGCCTGGGTACAGACACTGTGGAGACAGTCTATCGGCTCTGGAATGTAAACATCCAGGGTTTATATAAGAAATGCATTTGTATCTCCCCTAAATCAAATTTTTGGGTTTGTGACAGTAACCTCACTTGTATCTTAGCAAAACAGTCATTAATTCAATAGGGATTTATCCCAGTCACAGTGCTTACACTTTGTTCACAAAGAAGCATAATGATGATAATCATAGTTGCAACACTTGGTACTTGTTTACTACATAGGGTACTTCTCTGTTGTGCCAGGCACTATGCTTTTTGCACAGATTAGTTTATTTAATGCTGATGTCAGCTTTGTTAGGTAGACACTATACTTGTATTACTCTCATTTTTCAAAAAAAAATTGACACACAGGAAGCTTGGTGAATTGTCTAAGGTCATACAGGACAATTAGCCGAGAAAGGATTTGAGTCAGTCGGTCTGACTCTGGAGCTATTATTTTGTACTGTCTCAAGACAAGACCATGTCATGGTGCTGCTCATGGCAGATTCTGAGACAGATCAAGTTACTTAACATGATAATAATAGTAAAGACATATGACTAAAATGTTGTGGCAAAACAGAAAAAAAAAAAGCTGTGCAGAATTGGAAGGCAGCAATGAACTTTCCCTGGGAAAAGCTGAAAATAAGGAAAGTGAAAGAGCACACATTAGATAGAAGATACATGCATCTTCTGCAAAGGTTTCTGAGTAGTAAGACACTCAGTGATGGGAATTAGGATCTATTGGAGAGAGTGGAGTGAAACTATACCACAAATCATGACTGCTACCATTCATCATTATGTATTGGGCTTCCCTGGTGGCTCAGAAGGTAAGGAATCAGCCTGCAACAGGGGAAACCTGGGTTTGATCCCTGGGTTGGGAAGATTCCCTGGAGGAGGGCATGGCAACCCGCTCCAGTATGCTTGCCTGGAGAATCCCCATGGACCAGAGGAGCCTGGTGGGCTGCAATCCATGGGATCGCAAAGAGTGGAACATGACTGAGCGACTAAGCACGTCATTGTGTGTCAGTACATATTCATTCTACTTTATATACATAAATTCAATCAATCCTCGTAACAACCCTCTGAGGTAGGTGTTGTTATCATTAACTTCATTTTAGATGAAGACGCTGAGCCACAGAAAGGTGAAGTAACTTGGCCCAAGGTCACACAACTAATAATTAATAGAACCTACTAGTTTGGCTTCAGAGTCCTGCAGCAGTCTAGGTCCAATCAGAAGAAACCACATGGTAGGTTAAAGAGGGGATGTGAATGTCAAGAATTAGATAAAAGTAAAATGTGAGATAAAAGGAAACTATGGTATCTTGGACTGAGGGAGGGTCCTCAAGGACAAATTTGAGAGGGGTCTGGATCTCATTGGAGAGAGCATGGGTTGGCTACCAGATAGCAGAGACATTTGCTCATTTAGCAGGTTGGAGGCAGTCCAGGATAGCTGGGTAAACAAGAGAGAAGAGGGTGGAGGAGCGTGATCACTAACCAGCCTCAAGGGAAGCCATGGGAATCTGGGAGCCGGCAGGGACAGAAGACCTTTAAGACGCTGGGGACTGGAGAGATGGAGGCAGAAGGACTACGAAATGTATCACCCTGCTCCCCTGAAAGGCTTGCTAGGTGGCTGCCTGCAGCCCTTGCAGGGCTCTAGTTTCTGTGTCAAGAGCACTGCATAAAGGTTATTGCAAGGCTAGAGCTGCAAGGTCACAGAAGGACAGATCTTGGGGCTGTGGCTGGAGCAGACCCTATTGGATGTTTCTGAGACCACACTCCTAACCCTGGTTGGTTCCCAGAAACCGCAGGAAGCTTCTTCCTTCAGTGCATTTAATAGAGAAGGTTTAACACTGTGCTCATTTTAAAGGATAAGTGCTTAAAGGAATTCCATTATTTATTATTAAGTCTGTTGAAGTATGTATTTGGACCTGAGAAGTAATACATTGATAACTGACACAACGACTTATATTAAGTCTTGAGGACTTTTGGGCTTTAGAACTCATGAGACTGGGAGAATCGGACTGCATATATATATATATATATATATATATATATATATATATATATGGTCTATAATCCAATCTAACAATTTCTGTTTTCAGAATGGGAAATACCCGATCAGCTGTATATGTCCCTTGCAAATATAAACATTCAGAAGGATACAAATCTAAAGTAAAAGCCCTCCATGCCATTCATTCACCAGAGATAAACACTTTTAACAATCTGGTGTCTTTCCTTCCAGACTGCTGGGAAATAAATATATGATTAACACTAAAAGGGCACTATGAGGATTTTCAAAACTGTTCTTACTCTATGAAAGAATAAATATATCTTTTTGAGTCAGTATATTTGAAATGAACATCCCTCTACCATTCCACCATCCTTTTCGCTCCCCGCGCCCCCTCGCCCCTCTCAAAAATAAACCTTTTTCGCACACAAGATCCTCTTATTTCACTTGCACACGTGGAGTCTTCCCAATCTCATCGGCCGCAGCTGGCAAGGGGTTAGAGGGTGTCAGACTCCTCCGAGACTCATGAAGCACCGTTTACCAATTCCAAGCCCTCCCCTGACTCCCCTCTCAAGCGGCCAGCCGCTGACCTCTTTTTTTCCCACGCTGATCGAAACCACGCTGTTCCCAAGTCTCCAGCACTCTTGGAACACTGCAGCTCTAAGACCACGTGCCGCGTGGCCCCGCCCCTGGCCCCCGACCCCACCCACCTGGCGGGCTCTCGCAAACCAGGAGCCACACAGTCCTCCACGTCCCTGGCTCCGCCCACTATGAACTCAAGCCGCTCACCCACCCAGGATCCGCCCCTGTCGCTCAGACTCCACCCTCAGCGGCACTGCCACGGAGCGCCTCGAGCTCCGCCCACCTCTTTCCGCGCCAGGACTTTGCATCGCTCGCCCCGCCCAAGCTCCGCCCACCAGAACCTGCCCAGCCAATCCAGGGCCGCCCGAGTCCAGCCACTGACAACAACTCTCTTCATTCCCAGCTCCACCCTCCCGGAACCTGCCACGGGCATCTCGAGCTTCTGCGCGGGATCTTGCGCTTTCAGCCACTCAGGCTCCGCCCACCCTGCCCCAGGCCCCATCACCCGGGGGCGCCACCGGCGGCCTCGGGCTCCTCCCAGTCCGCCCAGCGAACCAGCGCTGCGTGTGGTGCGCCGGCTCCTCCTCCGAAGCCCGCCAGCGGGGCCGGTCCGTTTCGTACGCCTCTGGCCCGTGCCCAGGCCCGCCATGGAAGGGAACGCCCCCGTCGCCGCAGCCGCCCAGTATCAGCCGGCCAGCCCCCCGCGGGACGCCTGTGTCTACAACAGCTGCTACTGGTGAGGGGGCGCGGGGGCAGCCCCCGGCGTCTCCCCGGCCCACTCGGCGGTGGAGACGCAGCCGGGCTCCGCCTCTTCCCGGCCCCTCCCCGGGGGCGCTCTGGGCCTGGCTTGAGGGTTTTCCGGTTTGAGGGGCGGAGGGAGACAGAATGGCAGCCCTAGAGTCTTGAGTGGAGCGTGGGCATTCGGAGGGTGTTGGGGGAGGGGGGTAGTATCCGCCAGGAAGGGTCGAGTCGCTGGTGGTTTACTTCTGCCTGGCCTTTTTCTCCTGGACCTTTCTCAGGGGATCTCAGTGCTTGGGGGCGCATGGAAGGGGAGTTGCAGGCGGAGGGTGGAGGGTAGAGAGCCTTTGAAAATTATTGTATTAAATTAAAGCCCAAGTGGTTTCGCACTGATGTGAAGGTCATTTTAATTTTGGAAGAGAATGAAAGCACAGAGATTTTGCAATAACATTCCCAAGGTCACTCATTGAAGGCAGCCAGGATTCCAAGTCAGGCCCCGTTGTACCAGAAACTAGGAGCCTAAAGACCACCACGTTGTTCCTATAATAGTGGTTAGGTTTACACGTGGTACTCAGTATATGCCGAGCCATGTTCCCAGACGTTTCAGTAAACGAATTCGTTTCTCCCCACAGTGCATTAGGAGGAAGGTACTATCACTCCCGTTTTAAGGGTGAGCACGTCGAAGCACAGAGGGTTGCAAGAAATTTGCCTACTTGTGAGGGACAGGGAGACCTAGCTATAGTCCATAGGGTGGCAGAGTCGGATACGACTTAGTGACTGAACAACAACATAGCTTGTGAGTGAAGGAAGGCAGATTGGGAACAGAGTCCTCACACTGTACCCCTTTCCTAGACTTCTGTGATGGAATTACAACCCTTAATCTTGGTCTTTTTCACTCCTACGCCTACCATTCCCTTGCTTGAATGGAGACTTCCAGTCCTGCACAAGAAACCTCAGGGTCCTCTGAAACTACCTTTCCTCCTTCAGCTGGTCACCAAACCAGTGCTACGAAGAGCTGGAGTTTGTTCAGCTCTGCATGTCAGGCCCAGTGCCAAGTACTTCTTTTCAGGCTTAGGAGATAGATCTATTATTATCCTTTTTCTCATTTCCTTTCCTAATGAAAATACTGAATCACAGGGAGGTCTTTAATTTGCCCAAGGTCACACATCTAGCAAGGGCTTCCCTGGCGGCTCGGGTGGTAAAGAATCCACCTGCAATGCAGGAGACCTGGGTTCGATCCCTGAGTTGGGAAGATCCCCTGGAGAAGGGAAAGGCTAACCACTCCAGTATTCTGGCCTGGAGAATCCCATGGACTGTAGGGTTGCAAAGAGTGGGACAGGACTGAGTGACTTTCACTTTCACACATCTAGCAAGTGGTGGTGCCGAAGTTGGAAACTCCAGGGTAGGTGCTGCTTCTACATTTTATTTCTGCCCCTCCTCTCACCTTAGTCCTCTTAGTTTTTGTCTCTGAGATCCATTCATTGTTTTATTCATTAATTCAATAAATGTTTACGGAGGATGTGAAGCAGGATCCTAGACACTAGGGATACTGCAGTGAACAATGTAGACATATTCCCTGGTAAGATTTCATAGTTCTTACATTTTTGTTGGGGGAAAGCAGACAAAAGCAAGTTTAACCACACTTGGGTGTGTTGAGTGCTGTGAGAAAAATAGAACAAGATAAGAGATGGTGACTCACTATATTATTAGGATACTTAAATACGTTGATAAAATGACATTAGAACAGAGAGCTGAAGAAAGAGGGCAGGAGCTTTGTGGATATTGGCAGGAGATTCCTCCAGGCAGGGGGACAGCAGGTACAGAGGCTCTCAGAAGGAAGCTGGCAAGAGTATTCGAGGAATAACAGAGAGGCCAACATAATAGGAGTGCAGTGATTCAGTGGAAGAATACTAGGAGATGAATATCTGTTCAGTTGATCATCTCCTCTTGGTTCCTTCAGCCATAGATAGGTCTGTCCCTCCTTGGGTCTGGCCACTGGGGCCTGTTCTGGTCCTTCCTAACAGGCATCTCTGCCCAACTCTCCCATAGCCCATTAAGTCTTTAATTTTCAGCTGGCTTCATACTGCTCAAAGTCAGTCTAAATTTGAATGTACCCAGAGAACCACCTGGAGCTTATAGAATATGCAGATCTTAGGGTCCAACCCCAGAGAGCCTGGATGTGTGAGCTGCACTGTAGAGCAGTCTGAGTCTGGCCCATTGATCCTGTTTCAGGAGCTTAGGGCCAGACAAAAAAGTCTATCTCCTGCGTATAGCAAGCACTCTATAAAGATCTGGTCACCATCTGTTCCTGTGACCTATTCGTGAACCTGGCTTCTCTGCTCTGCCCAAGGGTTTCTCAGCCTTGCCTCTGTTGACATTTTGAGCATGGAGATTCTTTGTTTGGGCATCTGTTCTGTGTAGGGCAGGCTCTACCCATTAGGTACCAACCCTCCCCCAATCTGTCACAACCCAAAATGTCACCAGCTATTGCCAAATGTTCCTTAGGGGACAAGATTACCTCTGATGGAGAACCAGTGCTCTATCCTGTCCAAACTCATCAGGCTGGCACACCTTTCTGTCTGCTCCTGCGGATTCTTCGAACTTGGAATAAATGCCTCCTCTTGACGTCTGTTAGCTTCTGTCAGATGTCACTTAGCTTTTAAGACCCAGCTTAATGATAATAGTGGTAGCTAATATTTGTGTTTCTGTGCAGTTTGCAAAGCATTTAAAAATTATTTATTTGGCTGCACCAGGTCTTTGTTGCAGCATGCGGATCTTTAGTTGTGGCATGTGAACTCTTACGAGTTGTGGCATGTGGGATTTAGTTCCCTGACCAGGGCTCAAACCCAGGCCCCTGCATTGGAAGCACAGAGTCTTAGCCCCTGGACTACCAGGGAAGTCTCCTGCAAAGCATTTTTGATTCCGTTGTAATTGTTTCGGATTTTTCAAATAGTTGTTAAGCACTTGTGTTCCAGGGATCCTTCCCTTCTGCATGCTTCTCTATCAGCTCATCACCAGTCACCCCTGCAGAATCCCAGTCCCAGTACTGCTTTGTCAGCGTCTCTGCTATGCAGATACTCAGCTGACAGCCTGGGGCGTTATTGTTATCACCCCCCCCCCATTTTTTTAAACCAATTAAATGAGTTGCAGGACTCACAGCTAATCTGCAGCACTTTCTATTCCAGTGGTGACTCCCAGCATTTCCAAGGATGAGGCCCTCTTTTTTTTTTTTAATTAGCATTAAAAGTTTTATGAGATCCTCCTTCATGGTATTAGTTGTACTCAAAACAAAATTGTTGATTAAAAGGGACTACAAATTCAATATCTCTTAGGTTTAATTTTTTTCTCTGTGTAATGGTCACTTATGTTTGAAAAGTAATAAGCAAAATATGTCCAAGCTACATGTGTATTTAGCCAACCAGTAGTGCTCATGGTACATATGGCTTTGAGGACTTTTGGGGTTAACTCTGTGTCCATTCTTGGGAGGGGGAAGGGGAACACACACGGAGAACCCGCTGACCTATTTCCTCCATCATCCTGTATCCCTCAAAATGAATGACTCCCTCCTCTGTACTTGCTCTATGCATCTTTTATGGTCTCCTGCGATGCTCGATTATTTATGGATATGTGTGGCTCCTCTCATCGTCTGCAACTCTGATTTATCATTCTAAACTCCACGCTCTCAGCGCGGTGATTGGTACATCACTGGCTGTTGTTGATAGTCAGTGCTCCTGAATGTTTCTAGGTTGGAAAGACAAATGTCTTCTCAAAGCTCTGTCTGAGACCATCCAGGTTAAACAAATTTTAGCTACTACATGTTATATGTCATATTGAAACAGTTAACATGTTATTACTCTGTGCTGCATGTCCCATAGAATTACTCGCATTCTCCTGTTGGTATCTCTGCCACCATTTTCTCCCCATAAGACTTCTTAGATATTCTAGGGAAAAACAAGATCATGGGAGAAAAATACAGACACTTAACCGGTACTTTCAGTCTGGCTGTGTGAAGTGTTGAGACAGGTGGACAAGGGCAAGGCTGAGTGAAAAGTGTGTCTGCAAAGAATTGTACCAGTCCTCACTGCCACTTCCAGGTTGCATGGTGTAGGTGGCTGGAATTAAGGTTTTGACAAATTGAGTCACTTGTGTGAGCAGAATATTGGCGTAGCTCGTTCTGAGCAAAGCTGCCGTGTGCCCTGATAGAAGGAGACAGGAACCCAAAGCTTGGGCGGTGAATACCGCCAGGAGTGCTGGAGTGTGACTGCCAGCATGGCTTGGCTTGGCATTGCTTTACTTCGGTAGTTCTTACCATTGCTTCATAACAGCTGAAGGCCTCTCATACAGAAGAGAGATTCTTCTAGGGTAGGAGAATAAGAAAGATGGATTTCAGTTCAGCCTGAGGAGGAGCTTTCTAAAAGTCAGGACCTCCTCCATACCAGAGGGACTTGGGGAATAGCATTCACAAGAGGCTCCCTCCAGAAGAATTCCTGGACATATCCCATAACCATCCTGATCTTTTCCAGGCAGGAGCCCTCCTACACAATACCCATCCTGCCATTTCCAAAGGGAAGCAGCCAATCAATGTTGAGATTTATTGAGTATTGATGGTATGATTATACGCACTTTACAGAGGAGAAAATCAGACACTCAGAGAGGTCAAGGTGTCCAAAACTTACTACCTTGTAAGTGGCTGAACTGGAATTCAAGTCCCTGGACTCAGAACTTTTAGAATACTGATGGAGCATTTGAGCACTTAAAATGCCTCTGCTAACAGAGGCAGTGAGCTCTGTGTCTGCAGAGGGGTCCACGCACAGTTCAGGTTGGTAACAGCTGTTGCTGGGGATGTTTCAGAGGAGGTACGATTGTTAGCCAGTTTTTGGAGGAGGTGGTGTTTAAGGTCTCTGCCAACTTTTTTTTTTAATGTGATAATCGGTCTTTTGCTCAAATGTGAAAGACACTAAGTGTTCTTGCTTAATTATATTGCTTAAACAATTATTTTATTCCAGTGAAGAAAATATTTGGAAGCTCTGTGAATACATCAAAAACCACAACCAGTATCCTTTAGAAGAGTGTTATGCTGTCTTCATATCTAATGAGAGGAAGATGGTAAGTTGGGGAGTGATTGCAGAAAGAACACAAATTCAGGATGACATTTGAAGTTAAATAGAGGATGGGTTTAGCTTATTCTAAAATGTGCTTTATAAAATATGGCAACAGTTCAAAGTTTGTTTTTGAATCAGATTTTTTTCCTACAAGGATGTAGTTAAGAGTTTAGTTTCTCAAACTTAAGGATAAAGATGTTTATGACATAGTTTTAAAAAGGTATATGAAATAGCTTTTAACATAAAATATATATTTGCATTGATTGAAAAAAAAAGAGTTTAGTTTCTAACTTGCAGGTAGGGAAATATGTGATGGTATGTTTATGCAAATTCAGTTCCCTTTCTTAAGTATTAAGTTAGAGCTTTTTAAAATGCTTAGATTAGAAGCACATATGCTCAGGTTTGAAGGAAAAGTTTCTTTCCTGAGTTGTATGGAACTGCATTAAACTTCTATAAAGTATTAAAAAAAAAATAAACTCTTCGTAGTTTGTAAAGCACGTTTGTGAGCATCATGTTGTTTGATCCCAGTGGTTATCTTGTGAAGTAGTCAGGGTCTGGACAGCTGTTTCCGTTTTGTAGATGAGGAAATAGAGACTTGGGAAGATTCCATGAATGATTAAGTGGGAGAGCAAGAGGTGAACCTGCCAGGACTTCCGACCCCTAGTTTGGGTCTCTTTCTACTCTCCAGAGAACATCTTAACAATGAATTATTGCTCCTTCATCATTAAGGACCCTTGGAAAGATTTGGATTTCTTCTTATCTGTTCATTCTTCCACCTCACTTGTTGGTTGTTTTGAAATATTTTATTTTCCATGTGTGTATTACCTAAAAGAAGTGGTTGCTCTGTAAAGTTGTGACTCAGGAAGTGTATTGTATTTGTAGATACCTATCTGGAAGCAGCAGGCAAGACCCGGAGATGGACCTGTCATCTGGGTAAGATGGTCAGCACAGACAGCCTCTGATGCAGCAGTGCTTGTAATCCAGGAGCGGTCTTTGTGTTTTGGTAAAGCAGAAATGATGGGGCAGTAGAGAAAGACTATGATAATTATTAACAATTTGACCTTTGGATGACAGATGTTATTTGGTCTAAGGCAGAAGCACTGACGGGCATGTTTTCTTTTAATTTTCAAATTATTATAGAAGTGATTTTAAATGGCTGATGTAGCAGATAAAATTATTGTCTAGACTCTTGTCTATCTAGCACTGGAAGGAACTTCAGCAGCATCTCATCCATCTGCACAGTAGAGTTATCCAGAGACTGAAAAATACAGGTTTCTGGGAATTCCAGTGTTTAGGACTCAGGGCTTTCACTGGCAGAAGCCTAGGTTCAATCCCTAATGGGGAAACTAAGATCCTGCTTGTTGCCTGATATGGCCAAAAATATATATAGGCTTCTAATCTAGTTGATCTAAAGGTTTGGGAATTTGTGTTCTTAGCAAACTTCTGAGAGAGCATGACTGGCATTTGAAAAACACAGATCTGTTCCAACCCATTCATTTTTCAGGTGAAGAAACAAGCCCAGAAAGGCACAGTGACTAGGTCAGGGTCACCTGGCTGATCAGTGGCAGAACGGTGTCCTTTCCAGCACACATCCATATGTCACCTTAACCTGAAGAATGGTGCCCTGAAGAATGGAATTGTTTGTGCTAAGAAACATGGAGATAAAAGAAAAGCTCCATTCATGATAATGTAACAAACATCAAGTTTCCGATGCATATTTAGGATAAGACATCATTTGAATTGGCTTCATTTATTTATTTAACATATATGTATTGAGTGCATGTTATATACGAGGCACAAAATAGACTGAAACTCTTGGCCTCATGGAGCTCACACCCTTGCTTCCTTCACCAGCAGAAGATTCCCTGCTCTGAAGCCCGAATCCAGCAGCGTTGGGCTGGGAGCACAGGCTGAGTGAGGCACGTTGGGGTTAAGCCCAAGTCCCCTCCTGGTGGGCTGTGTGAGCTGGATGGGTTACTTACCATCCTTCGGTGTCCTCCTCTGGTCACTGGAGGCCTCAGGGAGATGCTTATTTGAAGCATCACTCTGGTATCTGCACCAGTGCTCTAAAAGCACTAGCAAGTTTTTTTTAGCAGAGCAGTAGAAGCCCAGCTGTGGACTGCCCATCTGCCCTAGCATCATGCCCCTTGCTGAAGTGCTCAGCTTCTGGTCTTCAGGGAATTTGCAGGGAAAGGACCTGTGGTCATGCCCTCCTTACACAGCAGCTCATGGCAGCTCCTGGTGGAGAATCCTGTTTCAGGAAGTCGCCTGCAGACTTCCTGTGTGGAATACACCTCTGGCAGTTGATCTGTGCCCCTCACTGCTGTTCTGTTGTAGGTGATGGGTGAGCCTCCCTCAGTGGGTGGAGACCAACCCCCCAGGAAGAGGTCACTTTCTAAGTGGGCGCTCCTGCCTCTAGCCTGCGGTGTCTTTTCCAGGCGTTTGGACAAGCTCTTCACCTGGCTCAGAGAGTGAAGCTGCTTCTGGAGTCTGCACTCCTTGGTCCCCATCTCTGCCTCTCGTGGAAGTGGCCTGCTTTCCCTCTCGAGTTCATTGGCCATCTGCTATGTAGGAACATAGACCTAAGCTAGCCAGAAGGATATTCCTTGTTTATGCCTTTCCTTTTTAAAAAAATTTTTTTTGCAGCATGCAGGATCTTAGTTCCCCAACTAGGGATCAAACCTGTCATCCCTTTGGTAGAAGAGCAGAGTCCTAAGCACTGGACTGCCCAGAAAGTCTCTGCTTATGCCTTTCCACAAGCTATGTTCTCTTTCTGGAAAGTTCTCCGCTTTAGGCAAGTTGCAGCCTTTCCTCAGTGAAACTCCCCTTATTAGTTGGGTCCCTGTCCCCCTTGTGGGGGCCCCCCGCCACTTTGGTTGGTTTTTAAGAAGGCTGAGTATTTACATAATAATTTCATTAATTCTCTCAGTAACACTGTGAGTAATACTATGAGGTAAACACTACAGTTGGGCTTCCCTTGTGGTTCAGTTGGTAAAGAATCCACCTGCAATGCAGGAGACCCTGGTTTGCTTCCTGGGTTGGGAAGATCCCCTGGAAAAGGGAACGGCTACCCACTCCAGTATTCTGGCCTGGAGAAGATCCTAGCAGGCTGCAGTCCATGGAGCCACAAAGAGTCGGACACGACTGAGCAACTTTCACTTTCAAACACTACAGTTATCCCCATTTTACAGACGAGGAAACTGAGGCCGGTTGGTGGTGGGGTTGAGGTTGAACTGGGTGATCTCACCTCACATGCCCTAACCCGCAGGTTCTCCTGCCTCCTGCCTTCCCTCATCCTCTCACTCCTCTGCCACCGTTGACTTGGGCTTCCCACTCACTTCTCCAGGAACTTCTTGAATGTTTGGACCTATCTTTCTCATCTCTGTATCTGTATTTTAACAGCAGGGTTTCCCACAAGTAATTGGGAATATGTATTAAAAAAAATATGAAGTAGATGTCAGGAGAGAACCCGATTTGGGATATGGCAGAGACTACTGCTGGCAGGGATGGGAAAAGATCAAAGATGGACTCCTGGGTGGGGAAAGCATTTGAGCCAGAGCTGGAGTGATGAATTGGGGGAGAGCAGTGGAGACGGCAGTGCAGGTGGAGTGGAATAACATGAAGAAGCCTAGGGGGCCGAAGTCGTGGACTGTTATAGCGGAGGGTTGGATGCATTAAAGGGAGGATGGGGAGAAGCGTTCATTTCTGATGCTCTTTCTGCTTTCCTAAGATAGAATTGGAGCCAAAGGAAGCACTTTGGGCTCTGATGGCTCAGTGTTTCCAGTCTCAATTAATTGTCTTCTACCTACCTCACAGGGTCAAATGAAACATCATTTAAGAAAGTGCTTTGTAAGCTCTGAAGTACTAGAAACGTATGGTAGTCCTAACATTGTACTAATGTGATTGGACTTTTTAATCTCACAGTGCTGTTCTCTGTGCGAGCGTTTTTCCAAGGCACTCTAGGCATCAGACTGCCCTCATGTCCGTTGATAAATCTTCCTGACATCCATTCCAGCTCTTAGCTGGCTTGGGCAGCACCCCATGTCTGGGGGTGAGAGTGAGAGTTCACATGCATGCTGGGACACAGCTCTGTGGGAGAAGTTCTGTGTGTCCTTTTTAATGGCCCCAGATTAGGGCATGACTGATTGAAAATCAATAGCAGCGACATTTAAAAAAATTTATTTCTTTAGCTGCGCTGGGTCTTAGTTGCAGCATGAGGGATCTTTTATCTTCGTTGCAGCATGAGAACTCTCAGTTGTGGCATGTGGGATCCAGTTCCTTTACCAGGGGTTGAACCCAGGCCCTCTTCATTGGGAGCACGGAGTCTTAGTCACTGGATCACCAGAGAAGTCCCAGCAACAACATTTTATTTTATTTATTTATTTATTTATTTTTTTATTTGTTAATTGTTTATTTATTGAGAGACTTTCTCACCCCAGATAGTCATAGTTTCATAGTTCAGGAACACAGGAAAGTGACAAACTTCCATGGAACTCAACCCAAGAAATCCTTTATATTCCAAATCACTTTGCACTCTGAAAAATACCAGCCTTCCTCATCTCTTCAAAATCTTTCATGGAATCATAATTCCTGTAGAAATCTGCATATGCCTTCTTTCTTCGTTCAGCCACAGCAAACTTATAGAAAGTTGCAAACCCCAGGGAGACCATGAACACTCCAACAATATGAAATCGCAGACGTTTGGCCAGGAGGCCACGCGTCTGAGGTTTTGCCAGAGCAGTGGACATGGTAGTTCTCTTTCTCGGCGGCTCAACCGCAATGTCCTTCTAGGCTGATGGAGAAATGGGACGGCCAGCAACAACATTTTAAAGTCCTTCTTCCCCTCTCCAGGCTGACCTCAGGCCATTCCCCTTTGTTAATGGTTTCGAGGATATCCTTATAGACTTTTTCTCTGTACTCATATGCATGCCTGTGTACTTCTGAACACACACATCTGTCTTTATATACACATCAATTTTAAAATACTGTATGATACATAATCTGCAATTTGCTTTTTCCATCCAACTGTGTAACATGGAGTTAATCCAGTTTCCACAGAAGTTTACCTAATTCTTTTTAGCAACTGCATAGTACCCCATCTTACGGCTGCCTTGTGGTTTGTTAGCCTTTCCCCTCTTGGTGGACTTCTGATTGTTTCTGAATCTTCACTGTTAAAAACAGCACTTCAGAGATTTTCTTTGAATATATACCTTTACTTGCATATGGCAGTTTTTCTCTAGGATGAATTCCTAATGGTAAAATTGCTGGGTTGAAGGTATACATTTAATGTACACGAACATTTCCACTTTGATATAACTGTTCCCTGTCACTGGACATCTGGTCTGTTTTCAGGGTTTTGTGTTTGCTTTGTTATTTTAAGGAGGGCTGTATTAGTCTTGTATATGTTTTTGGTGGTAGATAGGCATTATTACTATAACCTTGGAATACTCCATCATAAGGTAACCTGGTTAACTTCAACTTTTACTTCTAGGATTACCATGTTGTCTTGCTTCATGTTTCAAGTGGAGGACAGAGCTTCATTTATGACCTTGACACTGTCCTGCCATTCCCCTGCCCCTTTGACACATACGTGGAAGATGCCTTTAAGTCTGACGAGGACATCCATCCACAGTTCAGAAGGTGAGGAAATTCAGGGTGGATTTACCTACTTTTCTGAAGTTAGACTTTGATGATTATACAGTTACTTTCTTTGCGTGTTTGTTTCTGCGTTGGTTTTGTAAAGATTGCTTGTCTTGGCTTCACCATTGAGTTGATATTTGAGAGTCATGTACTACACAGAAGATTCAAAATATTTTGAAGTTTTAAACGTTGTCCGTCGTATGAAAGGCTGGCAGTCTTTAAAACTTTGTGTGATGAGATCCAAAACATTTTCTTTAAGTCAGTTTCAGAATGTCTCTCATACTCTTATTTTTGGATGTGTGGGTGGTGGGGTAGTGTGGGTTGGGGGAGCTGGATGCCATATGATGACAAAATTGGGAGGACTATGATAGACTTCCTTGGTAGCTTAGATGGTAAAAAATCTTCCCACAATGCAGGAGACCCAGGTTCAACCCCTAGGTCAGGAAGATCCCCTGGAGAAGGGAATGGCAACCCACTCCAGTATTCTTATCTGGAGAATCCCATGGACAGAGGAACCTGGCGGGCTACAGTCCATGGTGTCACAAAGTGTCCAACACGACTGAGTGACTAACACTTTCCTGATATCAGCACCTGAAAATTATGCCCTTGACCCCTGATATATTCACTGAGTAAGTAAAGGCAACTGGATAGATTTCCATGCCTTTGTAGTTTGGAATGTCAGCTGATCATTTCTCATGGCATCTTTAACAGGTGTTATAGCCACATATCTGTTTGTGTATCACTGATAGTGGAGAAGGAAATGGCAACTGACTCCAGTATTCTTGCCTGGACAATTCCATGGACAGAGTAACCTGGTGGGCTATAGCCCATGGGGTTGCAAGAGTCGGACATGACTTAGCAACTAAACTATCTGCCTGTCACTAATAGTAAAAAAATGTCTGCCTAGTTTTTTGCGTGTCATAGAAAATGAGTCTAAGAATTGAGTTAGAATTTCAACTGTTACATAAATGAGTGTTGGTTTATGTGCAGGAAATTTAGAGTGATCCGTGCAGACTCGTATCTGAAGAACTTTGCTTCTGACCGATCTCACATGAAAGACTCCAGTGGGAACTGGAGAGAGCCTCCCCCGTCGTATCCCTGCATCGAGACTGGAGGTGAGCCAGGGACGCCCTCTCAGAGGGGTTTCCCATCAGTGTGCTGGTGAGCGAGTTCCCTTAACCAAGGACAGGAAGTGCACTCTCGTTTGGGTAAGACTCCCAGGGTGGTCAGGAGGTGAGCGGGAGTGTAGTTGTGTGTATTTATCAGACTCAGGAATGGAGGCTCAGAGAGCAGGATTGGACGGTTTCATGGGAGAGGAAAGGCTTCAGGGAGCCAAACCACAACCCTGTTGCTGGAATATCAGCTGTCCCTGCCTCTGGTCCACCAGACTTGGGGAGAACTGTGTGTTTGTGCCACTTCACCATGGGACGTGTAGAGCCTCCCCGTGGTGGGGCTTCATGTTATGGTGAAGGGAATCCCCTGGTGTCTCTGTGAGACCTGTGAAATCTCTGTAATAAAATCTGCATTAGAAAGGCAGTGAGAGCTAGCTGGTTTTATTGTCCCACTCATCTCATTTATGTTCTTTTAGGCATCAGTCTAGTTAATAATTTCTCAAGGCTTAAGTAGATCAAGGGTTCTTCACCACATTACTATTGTCTGGCATTCACCTGGGTGAATTTATGGTGGGAAGTAATTCACAAGGTTGCCATTAATTGGTAAAAACCATCCTATGATGAGGATGCTGCTGTCTGAGTCAAGATGTTCTGCAGGCTGTAAAGGAGGCCAGAAAAATAAGACACAGAGTTCAGAGTTCAGCAGGGAAGAAAGTAAAAAGTGTATTTGGTATATTTGAGGGAAGTGAACACTGAAGGAGGATTCCATCTCTGATTTTTGAGGCTCTCTGTGGAAAGTTGTCATGATTTTTAAAGTTCACATTGGCATTGCTTCTGGTCTACCAACCTGGTTCCCAGGCTCAGCATCAGAACTGGGCTAGCTTGGGTCAAGAGAGGCCTTCGTGGGTCTTGCTTTCATCTCGCACACCCTACTGGGTGTGGTCTGGACAGTGCCCGTGTGGCTTGCTGTGTCTCTTCCACATAGGAGCACTGACACAGAAGCTGAATGTCGTAAGCCTTCAGCAAACCTTGTCAGCCCCCGTCCTCTTTGAGGTGTTCCTTTGGGTTTTGGTGACTGCTTCCCAGGAGGTGCTGTTTGTGCCAGCCCCCTCCTATCTTATGTTTGTCTCCTCTTCACTCGGCAGACATGAACACTGGAGCCCATGGAGGTCTAGCCCTCTGCCTGCCCCCGGGCGCAGCTGGAGGAGGGCGGCAGGGTCTGTTACCTCCCTGTGCTCGAGAGCAGGGAAGGGGATGCCTTTTTTTGCCCCTGGGTAACTAGCTCATCGGTGGCCTCCTGAACTTGAGGTTGGAACTCAAAAGAATCTGCTCTGAAGTGTGGGGTAAACATACTGGTTTCTCATGTAGTAATTTAACCACATGGCCATGTTCTCTTGTGTGGTCAATCCATTAATTCAAGCCTTGTATTTATCAATTGAACCGACCCAGGAGTGGACCTGGGGTCTCCTGCATTGCAGGCAGATTCTTTACCAGCTGAGCTGCCAGGGAAGCTTCATTTATCAAAGAAATGTGTGTGAAGCTGGGATAAGGGAGAATTACTTTTAGCTCAGTTGTGTCCGACTCTTTGCAACCCAATGGACTATACAGTCCATGGACTTCTCCAGGCCAGAATATTGGCGTGGGTAGCTGTTCCCTTTTCCAGGGGATCTTCCCAACCCAGGGATCGAACCCAGGTCTGCACTGCAGGTGGATTCTTTACCAGCTGAGCCACCAGGGAAGCCCCGTTTATCAAAGGAATGTGTTTGAAGTTAGGATAAAGGGGGATTACTTTAAGCTAATTAGTATTGCTTTATTTTTAAAAACAAGTTAAAAAAGCTTCCAAGAAGACATCAAACTTTCAATTAATGCCTGTTTTAGATACTTTCATAGCAGCTTTACTTGGTTCCCTGCATTTAGTTGTGGAATTGGCCCTTAGGGGCTTAAAATTTATCACATTTCATACATTTCACGTTACATTTTGGCCCCAATATTTAATTATTTTGGTGGCCATGTGTCTGCAGGCCCCGTTTTTAATTTAGCATTTAGTGTATTTTAGATAAAGGAAACTACGCCCTCCTCTTTTTGCCCATCTCTGATAAGAAGGAAACCGAGATTCAGTCTTGCAGCCTTGCCCTAAAGGCTCAGTTCCAGCACCAGCCTTTGATGGCTCAGTTTTTAAGGACCTTTCCAAGTCTTGGACTGAGCTATAGGGTACACCATGACTGTCCCTTTCTCTTTCTAAGCCCTTTGCTGCCTCTCATCCGTTCATTTCCTGTTCTCAAATGATGTGTTATAGTGACACTGGCTAATTTGAGCTCAGCTGGTGGATCAATGTTACACGTAAATAGAAATATTATAGTGCCTTTTAGGGAGGTACAGGCAAATGCTGATTTGTTACACACTGATCTTTAAAAATTTTATTTTATTTTTATACACTGGTAGGTAATGAATGCCTGCAGATAATCATTTTTTATTTAATTGCATTAAAAAGTCCTTGAAAATGAATACCACTGTATTTCAGAACTTGAGGTTTCCTTTAGCCATTTGTTAAAGATTTTAGCTGACTTACATGGAGTAAGTCAGGTAAGTAAGTACATCTACCCCATGTAAGGAAGAACTTTTGCCCCTTTTCTCCTGGGAGGCTCATGTGTTTCCTTTATTTTGGATTACTTGGTCATCTTGCATCCCTGGCTGTCTGACCATGTCAACAGAAGTCCTGGTTTTGCTGATTATCTAGCCTTTTTGTTGTAAGACTGTGTTTCTAGTGTTCTGTATCCTAAGTGTTTACTTGCATTTTTGAAAAGATGTATTTGTTAGATAATATTATGCTAGTTTTACATGTTTTTTCTTTCAGTTTTTTAAAGGTGTCCTTCTGCTTGCTTAGTTTCTGATCAAGAAGCATGCTGTTGTTCTTATATTTGTTTCTCTAAATGTAGTGTATCTTCCCCTCACTCCCCGGCTGCTTTTTAAGTTTTTTTCTCTTTATTTCTCATTTTCAGCAATTTGATTATGATGGACTTTAGTTTTCTTTAGACTTAGTCCACATGAGGTTTGATCAGATTCTTAGATTGGTAGATTTATGGTTTTCATCAAATTTGGAAACATTTGGCCATTATTTCTTCAAATATTCTCTTTGACTGCCACCCTTACCTCCCCTTTTAAAAATAATTCTTGTCCTTCACCTGCACATACGTTAGATGACTTGTTCTTATTCTCTTAAGTCAGTGATCACTTTTTTCCAGACTTTTTCTGTATGTGTTTCATTTTGAATAATTATTTTGTCTGTAAATTCATTCATCTTTTTTGCTGCATTAGTTTGCTGTTAATCCCATCCAGTGCATTTTTTTTTCATTTTACATATTTTATTTTTTCATCTCTAAAAATTCCACGTGGGGCTGATTTACTATCTTTCATTTCTCTCTGTTGTGCCCATGTTTTCCTCTACCCTTTTGAATGTACAGAGTGTGTTTATAATAGCTGATTCTTGTCTGCTGGTTGCGTTCTCTCTGTTATTTCAGTCTGTTTACATTGGTGGATTTTGTTCCTGATGTTGAGTCGCACTTTCCTGTTTCTTTGTGTGATTCATGACATTTGGTTGGGTGCTGGACTTTGTGAATTTTACATTGTTAGTTGCTAGATCCTGCTGCTGCTGCTGCTGCTAAGTTGCTTCAGTCGTGTCCGACTCTGTGACCCCATAGACGGCATCCCACCAGGCTCCGCCGTCCCTGGAATTCTCCAGGCAAGAACACTGGAGTGGGTTGCCATTTCCTTCTCCAATGCATGAAAGTGAAGTCACTCATTTGTGTCTGATTCTGTGCGACCCCATGAACTGCAGCCTACAAGGCTCCTCCGTCCATGGGATTTTCCAGGCAAGAGCACTGGAGTGGGTTGCCATAGCCTTCTCCGTGCTAGATCTTGAGGTACTTTTAAAAACAATGTTGGATTCGGTTCTGGCATACAGTTAAATTACAGGGGTCAGGTGGGTCCTTTCAAGGCTTGCTCTTTTAGTATGGGCTTCCCAGGTGGCACTGGTAGTAGAGAACCCACCTGCCAATGCAGGGGACATAAGAGCTGTGGGTTTGATCCCTGGGTCGAGAAGATCCCCTGGAGGGGGAAATGGCAACCCACTCCAGTATTCTTGCCTGGGAAATCCCATGGACGGAGGAGCCTGGCTGGCTACAGTCCATGGGGTCGCAAAGAGCTGGACACGACTGAAGTGACTGAGTGCAGATTCTCAGCAGCCTTTCACCCTGCACTCATTTAGCCTTGCTACTCAGGTGTAACCTTTCTGAGGATTCTGCCAAATGCCCATGTGTTACGAATTCTCTCCCCCTTGGCTGGTGGGGACCGTGGAAGTTCTGGGAGTTATTAGACCAGCTGCTTTCTGGGCTTCTTTCCTAGCTTCATGAGTTCAGTCCTTAGGCAGACTTGGGGGTAGAGGGTGAGTCCCCTCTTCCACACTCTGTCCCCTACACGTAGCTGCCGTGCCCTCCTGGGCCCCGGTCTCTGTCTTCCCATGGGCAGAACCCCATTGCTGTTCGTGTGGCTCCTTCTGTGCTGTGTCTGGAAACGCCCCCTGGGCAGTGAACCGGGGGGTCCTAGGGCTCCCTCCCTGTTTCTGCTTTCTCAGCGGTCCATCGTGTTGGCCACTGTCTGGCTTGTGGAAAGAGATGCTGGATACACTTTGTCCACTTTGCTGACGGTCTTTGATAGGAGTACCGTTCTATAACTATTCTTTAATGAGGACAAGAAGAAATGTGTACACACTTTTAAAAAATGTATGGTATGGAAAATTTAAATCATAAACAAAACTAGACAGAAAATTAGACTTTTCAACAGTTATCAGCTCATGGCTGATAGCCCATCCACTTTCCCCCTTCTTGTATTATGTTGAAGTGAATTCCAGATAGTATGTCCTTTCAACTCTAAATATTTCAGTATGAATCTCTTAAAATATAAGGATTAGTTTATTTAAAGTATGACCACAGTGTCATTATTACAGCTAAAAAATTAAGTTCTCTCAAATCAGCATTTATCTCTCTAGTCAGTGTTTACATTCACAGTTATCTCATAAAGTCGTAATCTTTTTCTTATAGTGCATTTATTTAAATTATTATCCAAATAAAACCCCTGCCTTATGCTTAGTTGTTATGTCTCTGAGGAGTCTTTTTTTAATATGTAGAGATTCCTAGTCAAGCTCTTTTTTTTCCTTGTAATTTATTTGTTGAAGAAATGAATCTGGGAGAAAAGATCTGGTTTTGCAGATTGTATCTCTTGTATCCTCTTAATTTCCTGTAAATTGGCAGTCGTATCCAGTAGATCGGCAGTTTATGTGTGCATTGTTTCATCTAGCTTTTTATTTTGGCATTAACTTCAGATTGCTAGAGAACTGGGCAAAACAGCACAGAAACTTCCTTTGTACCTTTTGCTCAGATTCCAGGCTATCTGAGAAAACCATAGCGTAATTATCTAAAGAAAGAAAATAATAAGTCAATACGAAAGTATCAGTGCAGTACTGTTCACTTACAGACCTTATTTATAGTTTGTGACTTTTACCCCAATTTCTTTTTTCTGGTCCAGAATCTAACCCAGGATGTTACATGTAGTTGTCACGTCTCCTCACACTCCTTCAATCTGTGACAATTTCTTTTTTCCTTTACTTTTACACTTTTGCCCTTTCAAAGGGGCTTCCCTGGTAAAGAATTTTCCTTCCAGTGCAGAAGATGTGGGTTTGGTCTCTGGGTTGGAAAGATCCCCTTGCAGTAGAAATGGCAACCCACTCCAGCATTCTTGCCTGGGAAGTCCCATGGACAGAGGAGCCTGGTGGGCTGCAGTCCATGGGGTCACAAGTCAGACACAACTTAGCAACTAAACAACAGCCCTTTAGAAGGATGCTGATCAGTGACTGTGTATGGTGTCCCTCAGTTTGGGTTTGTGTGATGTTTTTCATGATTCAGTTGAGGTTATACTTTGAGACAAGAATATCACAGAATGATATTGATCCCTTATGAAACCTTTGAATAATTTTCCCTACTTTTGGTCTTTGGGGCTGTTAAACCAGAGTTGTGCCTGCAGTGGACATTTCTTTCATGTATTTTTTAGATTCCAAGATGAACCTGAATGATTTTATCAGCATGGATCCTGAGGTCGGATGGGGAGCCGTCTACTCTCTGTCTGAGTTTGTACATCGGTTTAGCAGCCAGAACTACTGAACTTGACCTCGGGATGTGGTGCTGCAGAGAAACACTAGAATCTGAACCATCCACCCCTTCATCTGAGACAGCAAACATTATGGTACATTTGGCTTGGAATTATGCTTTCCCCTTTTAATTAAGTTGAGTTGAAAAAAAAAAAAAGAAACCATTTTTTTCGATATGTCAGGTTGAAACTTGATGTAGTTGTTCAGATATTCCTACTGTTCATTTGTTAAAACCTGTGAAGACTTATGCCAGTAGTTGCTTTTGTTTTGATGTTGATACATGGACTTCGTGCCTCTTTTGGATGTATCATGTCTCTCTAGCTCCACGGTAAGCTCCTGGAGGGCAGGGCCATGGCCCATTGCTTTGTGAACCTCTGATGCCCATAAAGTGTTTGCTTGTAACTGTGCTGCTTCTCAAGAGGGCTGCCATTGTGAGCTGAATCAGCAATAAATGTTAGTCTTTTGGGACCATTATGTTCTTAGAGAAGTTTTCAGCCCTCTCAGGCTTAAATGTTCTTTGGCCTATTTATATGTTTTTAAATAAAATTGACGTAAATTAATTTTGTTTTGAAGATTTTGTGTCCCTCTTGATAATCTGGGATACTCAAGACTGTCTCAGTTGTAGACAGGAACCCTTGCTTCAAAATGCACTGATCAGTCTTCCTTCTTGAAGATGTGTTTGGAACTTTGGCTTTCATCATCTAATTCCAAATAAAAGACGTTTGGCATTAAAGCAGCATATAGTGATAGTTCTCATTCACATATTCCATGGTTCTGTTCTAAAAAGGAGCACATTTCTTATAATAGGGCTATGCAAGTGTTTGCTCTTAGGTGTGTTTTCTGCTTACTAAGAAATAGATAAATAGGAATGGAGAAGGCACTGGCGACCCACTCCAGTACTCTTGCCTGGAAAATCCCATGGATGGAGGAGGAGGAGTCTAGTAGGCTGCTGTCCATGGGGTCGCTAAGAGTTGGACATGACTGAGCGACTTCACTTTCTGCTTACTAAGAAACTTCCATTCACATCCCCTGCCTTGAGCTTTGGAGGGACACCTGCAGTCATTTTCTTGAGAATCAGTCTCAGGAAATACCCCGTATCCAGCTGGTTCAGCTGACCTGGAAGATGCTGAGAGAAAGTGAATCAGCTCTGGTAAGAGGAATAGAAATACAGCCTAAATTTTGTTTATAAATTAGAGTTCAATATAGACCCTATACTTGGATGACTTTGTTGAGTTTCAGATGGTCATTTAAAAAGTACGTGACTACAATAAAGAAGGTAAGTTTTGGCAGGTTGGACCTCAGAAATACTTGCCTTGAGCAGAAACATTCAGAGGGAACAAAGGATTGTGATCTGATTTATAAATTGCATCTCTGAAGGTTTTTTCCCCCTTGCCCATTAGTGAGCAGGTTTCCAGTCTGGTATTTAAAATTATGTCTGGTGCAGACCAGTCAGACAATCTGTGTGTGTTAAGTTTGAACTTTCCAGCCACCTTGCCTTGAAATTGAAAACCCCCTACTTCCAACCAGTGTGGTGAGCAAACGTTATAGGTTTTGTCAACATATCCAGTGGCCATTGTCATGACTTGCTGGAGGAAGTAGAGGGCATTTGTTTTTTCCTACCTACCACTCCTACAGTACCCTTTGAGAAACTTCTTTGCATATTTCATAGAGTCCCCATGGCCATAAATAAAGGCATGTAGCCTAAGCTGGACCAGGCGTGGACCCTAGCCCTGGACAAGTCTAAGAGTGGCCTGTCCCAGGGTTCTCTGCAATTGCTGTGCTGTGTGCCTGTCCCAGGGTTCTCTGCAATTGCTGTGTTGACGTTCAGAGAAAGACGTTCTCGCTCCTTCAGGACCACTGGGCCAGGGGCCTGGCAGTTTGGGGCTGCTGGGGGCATGCTGACTGCAGGAGAAGGACCTGCCTGCTCACCGCAGCCCAGCAGAGGAGGCGCCCGGGGCATTTCTCAGTGCCTGCATCTTGCTGTGCTTAAAGCCAGCCCCAGCCTTTGAACTTGTGGATTACACAGACCAGAAGGTTCCTTTTCCTCTCCAGCTTGTGTGAGGAGGAGTGCTGTCACTTCTAACTGATGGGTAGCTTCCCTCACAAGAATTTTTCTTCAGAATGGTTGATTTTGTCAGAAAACTGTAACCATTGTCTCTCTGTGCTTTTCTTTTTCTCTGAGGTCAGATTCGCTTTTCTTATCCTTAGCGTGTGTGAGAGAACTGAATAAATACTGATAAATGCTGTGTGGAAAGAGGAACTTTCAAGAAATGCAGGGGACTAAAGTAGAATTTATTTTTTTGGACTCCAAAATCACTGTGGATGGTGACTGCAGCCATGAAATTAAAAGACGCTTACTCCTTGGAGGGAAAGTTATGACCAACCTAGATAGCATGTTAAAAAGCAGAGACATTACTTTGCCAACAAAGGTCCGTCTGGTCAAGGCTGTGGTTTTTCCAGTGGTCATGTATGGATGTGAGAGTTGGACTGTGAAGAAAGCTGAGTGCCAAAAAATTGATGCTTTTGAACTGTGGTGTTGGAGAAGACTCTTTGAGAGTGCCCTGGACTGCAAGGAGATCCAACCAGTCCATCCTAAAGGAGATCAGTCCTGGGTGTTCATTGGAAGGACTCATGCTGAAGCTGAAACTCCAATACTTTTGCCACCTGATGTGAAGAGTTGACTCATTGGAAAAGACCCTGATGCTGGGAGGGATTGGGGGCAGGAGGAGAAGGGGACGACAGAGGATGAGATGGCTGGATGGCATCACCGACTCAATGGGCATGAGTTTGAGTAAACTCCCGGAGTTGGTGATGGACAGGGAGGCCTGGCGTGCTGTGATTCATGGGGTCGCAGAGTCAGACACGACTGAGCAACTGAACTGAACTGAAAGTAGAATTTGTAGTTGACTCTGAAAATAAGAGAAATAAGGCATCTCTGGGAATCTTGATAGGGAAGCAATTACATGATATAAAATGGCTCCCAGGTCAGTAGAACTGACTATAGCTGATTGTGGGTATTACCATGGCTTTTACAAATGATTGTGTCGTTCAGAAGAAGGGCTCATTAGCAGTGGAAGTAAAGACAAACTGTGGTTTTTCTCAGCTTAATTTTTAATTGTTGTTTAGTCACTAAGTTGTGTTTGACTTTTATGACCCCATGGACTGAAGCCTGCCAGGGTCCTTTGTCCATGGAATTCTCCAGACAAGAATACTGGAGTGGGTTGCTATTTCCTTTTCCAGGCTGTCTTTCCCATGCAGGAATCGAACCCAAGTCTCCTGCATTGGCAGGCAGATTCTTTACCACTGAGCAACCAGGAAAGCCTCTCAATAGCTTTCTTGAGATGGAATTCAAATAATAAGCAATTTACCCTTTTCAAGTACACAGTCTGATGGCTTTTAATTTGTTCGGAGTTGTGTGTCAATTTCAGAACACTTTCCTTACTCCCAAAAGGATCCCTGCACCCCTTAGCTGTCACTCTCCATTTCCCCTCCCTCCACCCCAGGCAGCCACTAATCTACTTTTTTTTTGTCTTCGTGGATTTGCCTGTTCTGGATATTTCACATACATGAAATAAGATACTGTGTGGCCTTTGGGGACTGGCTTCTCTCACCAAGCATCATGGTTTCAAGACTCGGTCATGTTGTAGGGTGTGTCAGTGCTTCATTTTTTTTCACTGGCGAATAATTAAATTATTTTTAAAAAGCTGGTACATGCACATTGTACAAATTCAAAGATATATGATAGAAAGTACTCTTCCCCCCCATCCTCACCTTAAATTTAAGGTGCATTCTGATTTCCCTACCCAGAAGTAACGTTTTCTGTTTCTTTTATGGCCTTGCGGGAATGTTTTAGTGCCCATGAAAGCATATATGTTTAATGTATTAATTATTGTGTATTTTTATTATTAGTTATTATGTATTCTGGTTTCTGTTTTCTTCCACAAATGGTAACATTCTGAAAGTACCATTCTGCATCTTTTAGAAGTTAATATATTTGGATATTTTCCAATCAGTACATGTTGAACTTCCTCATTCCTTTTAAAGGATATATTGTAGTCTATGGCGTGCATGGTTCATAATTTAACAGTCCTGAAGTTGTTTTAGTCTCTTGGTACAACCCCCCCCCCAAAAAAAAAGTTCAAGGAGTATTTTTGGCTATGCATCTTTATAGCAGCTTTTGAGATAAGTTTTTAAAGTGTAGACCGCTAATTGTCCCACTGAATCCATTCTTTTTTTTCTAGAAAAGGAGATACAAATGTTTTCTATTAATATAAAGGGCCAAATAGTAACTATTTTAGGTTTTGCAGGCTATAAGGTCTCATCCATAACTAACTGCTCAGCTGAGCCTTGGCCTTCCTAGCAGGTAAGCAGCCATAGTGTGTAAATGAGTGGGTGTGGCTGTGCTCCATAAAACTTTGTAAAATCTGGGGGCTGGAGGATTTGACCATTGGGCTATAGTTTGCTGTCCCCTGTTCTAGAGTCTCGGAGTTGTAGCTGGCATTGTGGCTGCTCTGCCAGAGACCATTTCCCAGTGTCCTTTGCGGCTAGGTGTTGCCATGTGACCCGGGTTCTCACCTTGGGATCTAAGGGGAGGGGGCTGCACGCCACTTACAGGGCTGACTTGTGAAACATTGTCCGTCCCCTCCTTCACATCTCTCCTCCTTGCCTACTGCATGATATTGAAAGGTTATTGCTAAACCACGAAAGACGCCAGGATTCTTGGCCTCCAGAGGAGAAGAATTCAATCCAGGGCCAGTGAGACTTGATTGTTCAGAGCTTTTGTGTAATAAAGTTTTTATTAAAGTATAAAAGAGATAGAGAAAACTTCTGACATAGACATCTGAAGGGGGCAGAAAGAGTGCCCCTCTGCTAGTCTTTATAGCTGGATGTTATATACCTACTAGCAGTCTGCTAAATAGGGAGAGGAAATGTCTCAAAACTTAGAGAATGGCACCAGGCCCCTCCCCCACAACATGCATTGAGATAACATTAGCACCAGGTGAGTCATCCTGG